AGTGACCCATGGATTGTCTCTGTATTTCACCCGAGGGTAACTGATGTAGCACACCTATCAATTATACAAGTTATTAGTAAAATATAAACCATTAATTATGAAGAAATTGACATACCTAATCAGCTTGCGAAGCAAAAATGAAGGATCATAATATTGAAGTTTCCGCCAAGAATGAACCGATGTAAAACCAAACGCATCAGTCTTCACTCCTCTATCTGGGGTGGTGTCATACCACTCACAATAGAATACTACACACCGCAATCCAACCATACCGAGAAACTTGATTTCCAATATTTCTTCTATGTTGCCGTAGTAGACATCGCCACCGGAAGAAGACGAAACACCAGCATCATATGTTGTCTTAGAATGACATTTCCTTGTGAATGCATATCCTCACATACAATATTTTAGATATGATCTGACCACATAGTTTGGTCCCTGCAAAAATTCACGTATCAAATTATCGAACACAAAACCTCTGGCCACACCATCATTCACCTATAAATTAAAAACATATATGAGTGAAAAGTTAGTTACTTTAAATTAAATATAAACTAATCATAGGGTAATATGATATATGACTCACATATCTAAGAAACCATGCAGCAAATCCGTTATGTCTAAGTTGTTGAAGCTCATCTTCTGTCGCATGTCTGTGAGTTATGTGCAACTCTGGTATATAAACACTATATAAAAAGATATTATCAATATGAAATAAAATTATTGAATATAAATCTAACAATTTAAATGATTAACTATTTTTACCTCTCATATTGTAGAACATCTTCATAGTTGGTGAGCAAATATGTTTGCAAATGAGCGTGCTTAGTCTCCGTAAGTCTCTGCTTCATGGGTTTTCCACTAAGTCGTCATAATTCTCTGAACATGTTTGGGACATTAACATGATATGTTGCTCTCTCCCCTCTGTCATCATGCCGAGCAGGTCTTCTGTTTTTTGTATGCACTTCTGATGGAAAATAGTTTTAAGCGAAGATTCTAGTTTCTTCATTGATCACCTGCGCCACTATAGATCCTTCCCCCCTGCTGTTATATTTGACCATCTTCTTCGGATGATGCATATAACACTCGAAAACATACATCCATCGGTACTGCACATGACCACCAAGTTCCAATTCTCTTGCGAGATGAATAACAAGATGTTCCATTACATCAAAGAATGTTGGAGAAAATATCTTCTCGAGGTTACATATGCTGACTGGTATGTTTGCCTTCAGATTACTAATACCCTCTTCAGTCACTACTCTGGTGCATAAATCTAGGAAAAAACCACTTATCCCTACATAGATAAAAGAGAACATTTTCTTAAGTATACGTTTATATAAGCATAATTAATGTTAAATATAAAAATCAATTAAAATGTAAAATATAAGATACCTGCAATTGCTTCATGAACATTACGTGGCAATAGTGCGGAAAAGGCAAACGGAAGGAGACGCTGCATAATTACATGACAATCATGACTCTTCAAGCCAGTAAACTTTCATTCGCTTCTATCAACGCAGTTCCGCAAATTTGATGCATAACCGTCTGGAATTTCACTCTATCTGTAATCCAATCAAAGAACTTTTCTTTTGCAGCACCATCCAGCCGATAAAAGGGAAAAGGGGCCGTACTGTTCTCATCAACGTGAAGTTCAGAACGATCACAGATATCAACTAAATCCAACCTTGACTTCAAATTATCCTTCGTTTTACCTTGGATGTTAAGGATTGTGTTCAACAGATTGTCGAAAAAATCTTCTTGATATGCATGACATCTAAATTATGCCGCAATAGATGATCCTTCCAATATGGCAGATCCCAGAAAATACTCTTTTTGTGCCAGTTATGTAGCTCCCCAACCGCATCGACTCGAATGTTTTCATGTCCACCTACGTCTGGCGTCCTATCTGCACCAAAATCCCTCAACTGCTTTTACAAATCTTCCCCACTAACTTTCTCAGGTGGACCATCAAACACCTGCTTGTTCTTCGTAAACAAAGTCTTACTCCTACGGTATGGATGATAAGGTGGTAAAAATCTTCTATGACAGTCAAACCAACAAGTTTTCCTTCCGTGCTTTAGTTGGAAAGCATCTGTGTCATCATTACAATGTGGACATGATAGCCTCCCATGTGTTGTCCATCCGGATAACATACCATATGCTGGAAAGTCACTTATTGTCCAGATAAGTACTGCCCACATATAAAAGTTTTCTTTGCACGAAACATTGTATGTCTCAAAACCATGCACCCATAGTTGTTGCAACTCATGTATAAGTGGTTGGAGAAACACATCTAGTGATCTCTTAGGATGCTCTGGCCCGGGGACGAGAATTGAGAGGAACAAAAACTCTCGTTGCATGCACAAGCTTGGCGGTAAGTTGTACGGTGTCACAATAATTAGCCATAGAGAATATTGTCTTCCATTCTTTCCAAATGGGCTGAAACCATCAGTACAAAAATCCAAGATAAACATTTCTTCTCTCTTCCGCGAATTCTGGATACGTTGACTGGAAATGGTTCCAAGCCTTTGCATCTGAAGGATGTCTAATCTCACCATTTGTGGAATGCTCTACATGCCATCTCATTGCTTTTTCTGTGCGCTCACACTGATACAACCTTTTCAATCTTTCAGTTAAAGGCAAATACCACATCCTTTTGAACGGGATCGGAACTCTTCCCCTCGTCTCCTGATAACGAGGTTTCCTACAAAATTTGCATTTATCACGTTCCTTATCTGCTCCCCAATAGATCATGCAGTTGTCAATACATACATCTATCACTTCATACGGTAATTGAAGACCCGCAACAAGTTTCTGAACCTCTTAGTATGAACCCGGTGCAAGATTATCCTCAGGTAGAATATCTTTGACAAAATCAGTAATCGCATCCACACATTCTTTCGCCAAATTATAGTATGTCTTGATACCCATCAATCTAGTTGCAGAAGATAAGGCTGAATGACCATATCTACAACCTTTATACAAATGTTGTTTTCCTGCATCCAACATGTCAAAAGATCTCCTAGATTCGGGATTTCGTTCTTCTTCCCCTCTATAATGATCATGTACCATTTGCACAGTACCTACACCATAATCTATATCCGTTCTAGGTTCTTCTAACCTAATATCAGGCTAAGGTTCGCTAACAGGCTGAGGTTCGCTAGTACTACCATATTCAAAACCAGTTTCCCCATGAAGATACCAAACTTTATAATTACGTGAAAACCCTCTCATATACAAATGAGTGCAAATATCAAATTCTTTTATAATCCTATTATTATTGCAAGTAGAGTAGGGACATCTTAACATACGGGTTTTTTCATCCGGTTGCTGTTGAACAAGCTTCATGAATTCTCCAATCCCTTGAATGTATTCTTCCGTAAGTAAATTAGTATTGGGATCCATATGAGGTTTATCCATTCACGAACGATAATAAACTTCTGAAGACATGATTTTCAAGAAATTGTTGTGCTTAGAGAGAGTAAAGAGAGACAGAGGAGTGAATGATTTGAATCAGGAGAGGTTGCATTTATAGGAAATTGCTTACGGCACTCCGACGACATTCCGACGGAATCCGACAATATTCCGACGGAATTCCGATGCCATAACGGTTATGTCCGTCAGAATTCCGTCGGTATTTTCTTACCTTAACTGATATAAAACGGTCATATGTATTTGTCAGGAATGGTCAAAAGGTTCGTCGGAATTTCGTCGGAATATACCGATGACATTTCGACGAACACAACGGTTATATAGTTAATCAGAAGGTCGTCAAAAATTCGTCGGTATATTCCGACGAATTTCCGACGACTTCAACGGTTATATAAATAATCAGAATGTCGTCGGAAGTTTGTCAGTCTATTCCGACGAACCTGGTCTAGTCGGAAAGTCTTCGGTTTATTCTGATGAAATTTTGATGAAAGTTTATTTTTTGTTTTCTTCGAAATTCCGTCGGAAAGCTGTCAAAATTGTCTGGCGACTTATACGTCCGTCGGAATATACGGTGTTTTCTTGTAATGAGTGGTGGTGAAGAAGCGCCTTCCAGCAAACTGCCATCTCTAAGAATAAAAACAATACATAAATGAAAGTTGTCTAATAAAAGAAATAACAAAAGAGAATACTATGCTCAAGTAGTTTTGAATACTACATTATTTAAGATTCATATGACATAAGAGAAGTCTGGCATACATTATATTGAAAATTTGCTCAAGTTAAGATGATTTAGACATATAAACATTAAGTATTTTTTTATTTAAAATAAGCTTTAAAATATGTTCAGAATGTATAAAATAAAACATAGTCATATTGGCATTGGTTACTTAATCACTTATGAAGATGAATCTTATCTTACAAACATGATCCAATTAACGATAATGTAATGATCACAATAATTACTCCAAATAAAAAAACTAATTTATAACAAAAACTGTTTTAGTATTAAAAATTTAATAAATTTAAAATACATGATCCACGCTTGGCACGAAAAATAGATCTAGTAAATACAATAGATTCACTAGAACATAGTAAAATGTTGAGAAAAAATAAATAATAGAACATTAGAAAAATAATACTTCTCAAAGTGAAGTAATCATATTTTAAGAAGATGAATGATAAGAATTAAGAGGGTGGGGAAATTCAATTTGCGGGCGATCTGTTATCGAATTTGCTTGAGGAACCAATATAGTCGGATAAAAATAAAGACATAACATTCTTTTTGTAACAACCATTTAGCATTTTGAATGGTTAGCATTTAAATAAATACTGTATGTAGTATTATAGTATATATTTCAAATTTAGTTTATGTAATACAACAATAAGTTTGTAAAATTATGGTTTAAAAAATATATAACAGCTTCTGTTTAGAAAAAAAATCTACATTTTGTATTTAGGGATGGACAAAAAAACTGAACATACCGAATCAAATTGAACTAACCAAATTGAAACCAACCAAACTGAAACTGATCCAAACCACAATTAAAGGTAACTAAGAATAAAAGGGTGGAAGCATATTTAGAATAAAAAAACAAAAAAAATATTGCAAACATGAAAGAAGAGGCAAAGTGGCAATCAAAACAATAAAAGGGTGGAAGCATATTTAGTTTTTTTATTCTAGCCAATTGCTTACTATGCTCTCAGTTAATTATAGATTTTTTCGGGCTATAGGTTCAAATTTTATCAAAATAAAATCCCAACACAAACTTCAACAAAACTTCATAAATCCAAATTCATCAAACAACGAAATGATTTTCTTAGTTGAAAGGTCATGAGAATATGAAAAGATCAACTCTCATCCATTGCGTCGTTTGATTGCGGTGAAACCGAGTCCTCAAGTGCCTCTAGGAATGAGACAACTGTGAACTTATCTACAATAAGAGTGAAAAGTGTATTTGTTAAAAAGAAACAAAAAGAAGCCTTTGGAAATTCTATTGTAAGCGCCGGACTTACATTTACTTGGGTCGATACCAAACTGAGTCAAATCTATCTGTCCAGTGCGAAGTACCTAGAGCGAGAGTAAAGTGGAGTCAGAAAATCAAGCAAAGAACGCAAACAACATTATCACAGAGGGGCTTACATAGGTGAAGGCATCTACTTGCTGACGAAAAGGAGGGCTCTGCAACAACTCCAGTATATCTTCTGCCGTACAGTGACCCTGTCAAAGTCATTGGATTAGTCCAGTGCATGAACATTGTTATTACCTAGGCAACAATAGTTGACCTTAGTGAGCTAACAGTTTAAAGGGAGTTGGGGCCATTCTTAATTTCTCTATGTTATCGAATATAAACGAAACTAATTGGTGTGAATTATATTACTCATATATGTCTCCAAAATCAAAGATATATCACTCTCCTTTCACCCAATACCACTTCTTAATCCCATCCCTTAATCATTTTATAATCTAGTGACCCTCTGTGCCTCTTACTTCCCCTAAATTCACAACTCTACTCGGTTTCTTTTATCACAAATTTAAACTAAAGAACTTACAATTGAATGTGTTAGAAAAAAAAAAAAGAACTTACAATTGAATGAATATAAAAACTCATCTTCATTGAATATAGATAACATTGACGCCCAGCACATACCTCAGGTAAATGCGAAGACAATCGTTCTTGTACAGGTAACATCTCCAGCAATGGCATGATCAACTCTGCCTTTAGGATATCCCCTAAAGCTAGGCCTTCGGAAGATAAAATATGAGAACGATGTGGTAAGTAATGAATAAACAGAAACCTAAAGATGAAAATATTCACCTTCGTTTTCATCTCCAGCAATACCTAAATTAATATCAACGTACCTGAATGAGTATGTAAGAGGGAAACCAGAAAAGCTTATTGAAGGGAGTACCAAGAGGTTGAGAATTTTACCTACAGGACCAGAAGAGAGATTGTTGAGAATTCTTTGCAGATCTGCCAGTTTAACTGGTCCAGACGAAGATGACACGTCACTCACCTCTCTAGACACATTTGGTAGAACCAAGTTTCCAGCTCTATGAAGGATAAATAAGTTAATACCATTTGCAGCAAAATATATTCTAACAGCACCAAATACAGTATACTTTTTGCTCAAAAAAAAAAAAAAAACAGTATATCCTTCTTAATCCATTCTTTATCTCATGATCAGAGAGAAGAAGATAGCTATTGATAGCAATATTTGTCGACCCCGTCAAGAGGAACTTTAATGCGCAAAGTGCAGTCACAAGTAAAATGCAATATAAGAATAATCAGCACCTGGATGAAACATCGCCTTCTGCCATGTCTTCCACGTCCTCCTGGATAGCAACTGCATGTCCTTCACCAAACTCTGGTGAACAGAAACATTATTAGATTTCAATCTTGTCCTGCTGTCCAAGTTTGCACTATCAAGGGCATGTGTTATACTCAGAGAGATGGCAAAACAACATTTCAGGCTCATATGCGAATTAATGCAGAGTCGATGATACAGTATTGATCGAAGAAGCTACAGTTTGTGGCGGTCATAGCTAAAAACACCAACAATTTTACTGCCTCACTTCATACTTTTCATCGTACATGAACCAACAATAAATGCAAAAAACGATCATATTACTGAAATCAGAAATTTCGTATTTATTAATAGAAACTTCACCATTCAGTCGATATATGTCCGACTCACGATACATGTGCGCAAGAAATCTAACAATTTAGGTCCTCCTATCGCTTAACAAACACTGTTTTCGAGAAATAAAAGCAAGCAAAGATAAAAACTTAAAAACCCTAGTGGAAAAAGTTCAGCAGTCTAGGCACCTAATAATAGCTATGGGCAGGGTTTACTGACTAATCAAGAAAGGCTTTTTTATACAAAATGTTAGCAATTTTTACAGCGTTAAGGAATTGTAATTTATGCTCTTTGGAAGTTCTTTATAAATGTCAACCGTGATAAGATTCCCAAATTCGTTTTGAGTCATGAGACGCCAAGAAATATGAAATGAGGGTATGGAAGAAAGAAAGCTAGTTCGTTGATCAAGGGAGTTAGAACGCTAAACTGCAAGAAAAAGATTGGTACCAGGATACAATCAGATCCTAAGACGATACAAGATAGGAATGTTACTTGCCTAGTGGTTGATTAAGGTACTGATTGACCGCAGAGCATATCTCTGCATCACCTTCAGCTCTCGGCTCCTGCAAAATTAGTTACGAAAAGAGTTACCCGAAACAAATAAGATCAAAGATCAGCAAGGCATCAAGATGAACATCAAACACATCATGTACAAAGATAAAAAGTGACCTGCATCCATAAGAATAACTTGCGGTCATCACTGTTAAACTTCAAAATGTACACCCTGTCGGATGATTGATTAACCTAAACAAATAACAAGCAGTGTTAACAATAGGAAACTAGAACTTCAAATGCTAGTAACTTAAATAGAACGGGGATACCTTTTCAAATAGAGCTTCATCAGGGAAAACAATTTGATCCTACAAATGGTATCGTCAAGGAGAAAACATTGTTATTGGAACAACTGGCAGCAACAATTAATAAGTTTCTGGAATTGTTATATTTTGGCAATAAAAGTAGTTCCTCATGGCACAACCTAAGAAAGTTGTCAGGCTAAGGACACAAATCCACTGGCCTAGCAAAGACTTGAAACTTGAAGACCTTTGAATCTATTTCTAATTTTTTTTTAATAAAAAAAGTGCATAGGATACATCTTCTACAGCATTCTGGGTTCGATCAAGCCACTGGAAATGAACTAGTCCCTCTTCACCCTAAAAGAGAGGATTAGAGGAAACGAATTAGATTAATTTCCAACGGGAACATTAAATCACAAGTGAATAAGCGTGGGGACATTACTCTAGCAATGCGAACAAGTCCTTTTCGGGCATCAGGGACAACTCGTGTTCCTTGCAAAGACATCTTACCAGCACGAAACTCAAGCATGATTTCCTGCCAAAAGGTAAGGGAAGAGCTTACTAAATATGATAGAGGGTTTTTTTTTTTCTTAACACACTAATTGGAAGTGTTGCATCACGATATTCAACAACAAGGAACTTCCACTCAACAATCTGAGTAAATTTGTAGTTACCTGCATCACGGGAAAAGCTTCACTTGAACTCATATCACAAACTCTCTTTCTACTGCAAATAGGCCCGAAACCCAAATATTCAGTCCACGAAGAAATCACAATAAAAACAGCGTCCTGCTCTTATTAGATAAATGCTAGATAAGGTTTTGAAGCTTCGTATGTATGATAAAGGATAAACGACGCAGTTACGGTAATCTACTATACTCCTTTGTAGGAGAATGAGAAAGAGTGATACTCTAAAATATTTATATAGAAAGCAGATCTGAAGCGAGATGAGTCTAGTCCTTAGATACTGGTGGAAGAACAAAACCCTAGCCACAAATCTTTCGGAGATTAAATAATACCTTATCGGAGGAAAGTTTGCAAGGAAAAGATTAGCAGAAAACCTCTCGTTTTCTCTCGATTTGCTTCGTCTCTTCGTTTTAACCTTTTCCTTTATGTTCTCTAACTGAGTTAATTGCTCTTCAACATCCCATTTATTTTTGTTTTTCTTCTTCCGCCCCCCCCCCATTTATGATTTTACACCTAGGTGGCGGTAGCCTAATCTATTTTTTATTTATTTATTTTTATTAATATTTTTATATGTTTATTTAATCTAAAATTTAGTAAATACAACTTATAACTTTAACTTAGATGAAACTTATCATATTAATTTTATATATTCTGTTATGTGTTCTATAAGATTCTAAACATGAAAATGTATTAATATTATACATAATTAAAGATTAACATATTTCATAACCTATCAAATAGTCTAAAAATTATGTCCCGTATAATCTTCACTTAATCCATGATTTTCTCTTTAGCCGCTAGATCTAACCGTGACGTCCGACTAGCGCTAGCGCGTTCCCGGAGATGTATTAGAACATCTATTTTCACCCTTTTGTTTTACGCTGGGTAATTATGCATTACAAACAATGAGAAATATTACTGAGAAGATATTACAACCGACAATTGTACATGTCTTATATGGATTCACGTTTGACTGCATCACCCTGAGCCGTCCTATGAAATCTATTGCTGACGGTACTCCTTGTCCCATACTCAAGATCTCTTGTAAGTCTTTTCACCATTAATTTGCATAATTCGCCATTCACGTTTTTCCGGTAATTGAAACCTCTTAGTGTAGAAACTGCGTAGCCTGGGATTTGAACTCCAGAACTGTTGTAGAAGCCTTTAAAACTTAACCGCGAGGCCACGGTGCTTCCACAATCTATTTTCATTTCTATAATAGCATTTAGAGGTAAAATTACTCCAACTCACCTTTATTTCTTCCTCTATATTAGAAATTTTTATTTTTTCTTCTCTTTATTCTCTTTTTTTTAATACTATATTTGAAGATAAGATGATTATCTGTGCTTTGCGCGAGGTGAGTTTTACAAGAATTAATCTCTATAATATTATTTGAGAAGTCAGTTTCCTACGTGTCGCGTTCACGTTAACTCTCGCGATGGTTGATTACATAGATACCCTTAATGAATTGTTAGATTTTAAGATTATTTTTTTTATTTAATTTCCTTTTTATCTTTTTCCAAATAACATATAAAATAAAAAGGAAAGATTTATAAAATTTTAAAACAAATTTAAAAACGAAAATATATGTATATAATATGACTTTAGTAAAAAGGAAAGTTCACAAATAGTAATACCCACATTAATATATATTTTTAAATAACATAAAATGTATTTTCAAAATAATAAAAATATATATGTTCATGAGCATTCAAAAATTTATCAGTTACACTTTATTTTCCAATATTTTTTAGAAATCAACATATAATTTGATAAATATTATGAAAATACATGTATATTTAAGCGATATATAAAACTAATTTGACTTAACTAAAATAAAGAGTAAATAAGTATTATGAAAATACATGTATATTTAAGCGATAAATAAAACTAATTTGATTTGACTTAACTAAAATAAAAAGTAATTATACTTCAGTTTTAATTTAAAATATATTTAACTCAATATACTCACAAAAAGAATGACTCGGCTAATCTAATTTATATCCAAAATTAAACATCTAACTAGAATAAGAACATATAATTTTATAATAATAATAATACTAATAATAATAATAATATATTTAATTTTATACATATAAATTAGAGGTTTACTCAAAGCATATTAAAAAGAAATATAAAATATTAACCAATTACAATTTAATTCTTTTGTAGAATTTATATATATGCATGAGACTTCAAAATATTATCATTATATTCATTTATGTAATTTTGAATCAAACACTTCAACTTATTATTTATTTCATTTTAAGCACAATATATATATTAAGTTATACATAATTTAACTATCATATATTTACATATCTAAGAATATATTTACATATCTAATACAACAACCAACCGAAATGTAAATAAGAAATTAATCAAAGTTTTATTATATTTAGAATTAAAATATTATAGCTGAATTCAAAAAATAGATATTATCCAATATACTAAATTGATAACCATACCGACTATTGATCCAAAAATAATTAAACAGATAATAATATATCCAAAGTCATATGTACATAATAATATAATATTTTTAATATAAATTATACATGAAAATTTATTCAAAACTAAAACTAAATATAAATCAATTATTATAAAATTTTACTTTTATGATATTTATACCCGTGCATGAGCACGGGAAATCACCTAGTTACTGATTATAAAAGAGTACATGTTTGTAAAGTAAGCTATCTTATTTATTAGAGGCATAGCCTCTGCACAAGCGTGTGACCGGGTATGTTGTTGATGTATTATGTTGTTTTGGTTTTGAGATTTTTTCTTTAATTTTTATTTTTATTTTTATTTTTATTTTTATTTTTATTTTTATTTTTATTTTTATTTTTATTTTTATTTTTATTTTTATTTTCTCATGTTTTATATATTTTTCTATGAATGGAAGAATGGAAATTACACAACTTGAATAGATTAGTATAAGGAGGACCACTGGAATCATATGCGGAGGTATTTATATATTTAATTTGTGTAATAATTTAATTGATAATTAGCATTATTAGTGGTTTCATTGTTAAAAAATCAGCTAAATTGAACTTTTGTTAGTACACAACTCTAATAGTGTAAGGAAAAAAATTTTAAATTTTTATTTTAAATTTAACAATTTATATAAACAGTAAATAAAATTACTTTCTTTATTCAACCTGAAATTTAAGAAATAATGAAGTGTTTTAAGTTGTATTTTTATAAATTAGTAAATTTATAAATTTATAATAATGCATTGTTAGTTTTATATATATTTTAGGTTTGTTAGTGGATTTCGTTTAAATTGTTTGAGTGTGGAAAAAAATTTGTAAATGTAGACCAAAATAGTTGAGAAAAATAAAAAGGCCAAAAAAAAGAAATTGTTTTTTTTTTATTTTTGACCCATTAAAAATAAAAAATGTGTTTAAAAAGATTAAATCTGATATTTTTCTCTAAATTTGAGAAAACTGTTATTTTTTTAATTCCTCGACAATATTCTTGTAACAATGTCCCTTCGATTCCTGTCGATATTTAGTGTTTTTGATTGTGAGATTGAGAGACGATAATTGTTTTAAAGTGTGACCGATGAGAAATTTTCTTACCGCACTTTTGTCTGCTTTCCGTGTTGTCATTAATCTTTGGCTGATAAGTCGGTCACGGAACCTGCAATAGAGAAGCTTTGAATTTTTTAGAAATAAATGGATATACTTTCCAAAAAAAAGATATTGTAGGGAATAAATCAAGATAAACCCGTAACTAACTCGGATACCACTGAAAATCATTTTTGTGAGTATTTTCATAGTTTCGGTGAGGTTTTAGAGGCTGAGATCATGAAGAATCGAGCCACTAGTCGTGCTCATGGCTTTGCTTTCCTTGACTTCTCTGACCCAAATGTTGCTGAGAGAGTTGTGTTTCTCAGACACATCATTGATGGTAAGCTTATAAGTATTTCATCAACTACTACATTGCTTCAGTATCATTTTGATTCCTTCAAATTGCTTTGTATTAGAGGTTGCTCTCACGCCTCTCCTCAAGGATGGTAGGTTCAGTGGTGCTCGGCCTCAGCATCTCAAGTTCAGACCAGCTGGCTTTACTTCCCAAGGTGCTTGGTTAGATCCATTTCTTCTTGTTGCAAGTTGTTGATGGATCTCTTTACTTCAAAGATCCGGGTCAGATTTGAAGTGTTACCATAGACCTTTTGCAAGGTCTCCCAAAGTTGTTTTGCGGTTTCACAATGTGAATAAGCTTCCATGATAGAAACATCGAGTGAGATTTGTAGGATAGACAGCACCATAAGGTCATCTTTGTTGGGCCCAAATATGGGCCGTTAGCTGAAGCTGGTGAGTAAATTAACAAGAGCTGATGATGGGCCGCAATAAGGCCGCCACAGGCTATTACTTCAAGGAAAGAAGGATGAAACTGACTTGAAGACGGAGGCTACCTCTGGGAGTACTAACGAAATAGGTCACAGAAAAGAGGTCCGGTTTCCCTCGTAGAGACCTAATGAGAAACAGCTCAGGATATGAAGTAAGAGGCGTGAGATTCGGTCAAAGTCGAGCCGTTGCAAATCCCTCAACTCACGGAAGCAATCTCGGAGATAAGCTAGGATCAGTTAAACGTGGCCTGAGGCTATTTAAAGGAAAGGAAGATGAGGAAGAAAAGGGGATTGAATCATTTTTACACATTTGAGAACTCTAAAACATTCCTTATTCTTTGTAATCACAATCGTTACATTTGTAATCATCTTTTTACCAAAAACATCAATACAATCATAATTCATTCTCTAAGTTCTTGATTGGATTCAGCCCACGTTATCTACTTTCCAATCTTAACCTAACCTAAAATTAGGAAGTGAGTTTTAGCCTTCACATTTGGCGCCGTCTGTGGGGACTAGATAATCGAATCCCTTACTCCGCAACTTGAGAATGGATCTACCCAACCATGCAACAAACCAATCTGTTCCTGTTCCAGTGATTCAGATCGATGGATCATCGAACGACAAAGGCTCAAATCCTCAGGTCCAGGAGCCTCGACACGCCGATAACCGATCTGAGCAACAGCCTCCGGCTAGTGCTCAACCGAACCAGACCACCACCGGAATGACTAACCCAAGACCCTCCAGTGGAAACAACCTTGGGGCTACAGCCCCCGAGAATCCTCAGCGTCAACCCACTGAAAATCAATCGGAATCTCAGCTATCTGAGATCCATCGAATGATGGTGCAGTTAGTAGACAGAGCTCAAGAAAATGAGCGTGAAATGCAGCAACTAGCCGCTCGCCAGCAACGATTCGAAGAGGTAACTAGATCTCTAACTGCAACAACCTAGCCACCGCAACGTCAGGGCTCGGGAATCACTTTCCGAGATCGGTTGTCCGATCCCACGTTCCCTCGTGGACGTCTAGATTTTTCCCCCAATAGCAGTGCTCTAGATGGGCAGGAATCTGTTCGCCAGACACCGCACTCTGGAACAGTTCCTACATTTAACCCACCTGTTACCAGCGCCATGGGAAGTA